ACCTAATATTATTATATTAACACTTATAACTATATAAATATGTATATAATAAAATATATTAATTTCTTTTTTGGTTTTATAAATTAAAACTCTTTATACTAATACATTAAATTATTTTATTTTTATTACTTTTAATTTAATAATATTTTATATAAATAAATTATATAATAATATAAAATTAATAAATACCTTTATATAATTAACATTATATTTCTTTATATAAATATTTTTTTATATTAATATACTCCATAATACTAATTATAATTATTTTAATAATACCTTAAAATTATTTACTATAAATCTTTTAAATTATTTTTAATATTTAACTATTGTTTCTTTAATTAAATATATATATAATATTTTATTATTAATAATTTTAAAATCTACTAATATAAAAAATACTTATATTACTTTTTATTTAAACATAATTATTTAAAGATTAATTTTTTCCCATTATATTACTATATAATTAAATATTATATTAAATATAAATATCTAATTAAAAAAATAACTTAAAAACTTATACAACTTATCCATATTCTCTTACTCAACAAAATTATATATAATATAAATCTACACCTACGCTAAACTTTCTACTTATATTTCTTAAAACATAATAAAAAAAATTAATAATACAAATAATAATAACTTTATAAATAAAAAGTTTAAATTATAATAATTTGTTAAAAATATAAATAGATTATATAAAAAAATAAAATTATAACTTATTATAAATTATAAAAATAATATAAAAAAAAATATTAATATTATTTATATTATTATAATAAAAATCTTCAAATTAAAATAATAATAATTCTTTTAATTTTATTAATTTATATTATTATTATTTAATAATATTAATTAATATTAATAAATATATACATAAATAAAAATAATAATAATAATAATAAAATAATAATAAATAAATTAATAATATTAAAATTAATATATTAAAATATTTAAAAAGAAAAAAAATCTATTTAAGACTAATTAAATATAATATATTCTTATATTCTAATAATAATAAATACTTAACCCCTTTATCTAATAAAATTGGATATCTTATCTTTTCCTTCTTTATCGGCAATAAAAACACCTTATTATTAATAAGGTACCTTTATATCAGTATTACACAACCATCAAATTATAATTATAATTATTAAATATTTTAAATAATTTAATTTATTATTATTATTTAATTAAATCTTTTTAATATTAAGCTTAAAACTAATATTAATTTTTTATTTTTATAATTAAATTTAAACTTAAAATATTTTTTATTTAAAAAATTAATATTATTTTTTAATTATTTTATATTTATTCTTATTAAATTAAAATTATTTTAATTAATATTTTATAATTAATAAAAACTTATATATAAATATTTATATTTTTTTTAAAATATAAGCAATTATAACCTTTTTTGTTTTTTTTTTATAATTTAAATTAATTAAAATTAATTACCATATTTATAAAATATATTCTTAATTTATTAAATTAACCTTAAAATATTATATTATCTTTTAAAATAATTAAAAATTATAAAGAAAATTTTTTTAATAATTTAAGAATTTCCTTTACCTATTTTATAGTTATAAATTTTTTAATTTATTTAATTACTTAATTAATAACCTATTATATTTTAATTATCCTTAAAAAATCTAAGGTTATTACATTTTTTTTAATTTTTAAAATTTTATAAATATATCCGTTTTTATATAACGTTTATTATTAAAAAGATTATTTAATTGATTTTATCTTCCCAATATATACTTATTAAAAATAGCAATAATAATTTTTTTATAATTTTATAATAGTTAATAAATTAATAAGTTAAAAATATACCTTAATTTTATATAAAATATTAATTATTAAAATAAAATTATTATTAATATACTTTAAAATAATAAATATAATAATTTCTTTTTTAATTATTTTTTAAATATATTGTAATATTTAACTTATTATTAAAATATTAATTATTTCTTTTATTTAAATAATTATATATTATTTTAAAACCTTATTAAACTTTTTATTTAATATAATAATATTTAAAATTATAATATTAATATCTTTAATATTCTTAAAAAATACGCTACCGTTTTAACAAATAACTTTAACCTATTTAAATATATTTATTTTATTTTATTTAATTATCTTTAATATAAAAACTTTAATCTATTTAATAAAACTTAAAATAAATATATACTTTTCGAAATTTATTTATTCTTAAATATTAAACTATAAAACATTTTATTTTACTTTTAATATTTAATATAAATAATTATATTTAATGTTTAAAAAGATTATAAAAGTTAAAGAAATAATTTTAAATAAATTTTTGTTATATAAATTTATTATAATAATATAAAAATAAAATAACTATTTTAATAACTTTATAATAAAAAAAAATAAAATAAATATTTATACTTATTATTATATAATTATAATAAAACTTAAACGTAAACTAGATTTATAATTATTAAAAAATTATTAATATTATTTAAATATATATAATAACTTAAATATTATTAAAAAATCTATTTTTTTTTAATATAAGATATAAAAAGCATATTTTTTTTATAATTAATATTTATATAATAAAAGTAATTAACGTTTTAATTACTTATAACTAATATAGCGGTTACGTTACACCCATAGCTATAAAGCCCGTGCACCGTATAACATATAACATTATTAAATTATATAAACTTTATTTATTTAACTTTTATTTTTTATTTATTATAAATATTTAAATTATTAATTTAAGTGTTAATAATTATTTTAATAAAATAATAATAGTAAATTTATATATTAATATATAATTTTTAATTAATAATGTAATATTAATATTTTATTAACATAATTATAATAAGGTAAATAAAAAACGAAATTAACACTTTAAAATCATTTATTATTTATTTCGAAGTAATAAAAAGTTAACTTTTTAATATTTAACCATTAATTTATAAAATTATAATAATATTATTAACATAAAATAACTTATTTTATAAAAATATTAATATAATATTTTTTAACTATTATAAATATATAAAAAAGGTTATTACGTAAAAAGATAATAATAGTTTAAATTAAATTAAAAAAAGGGAAGATTTTTAAAAAAAAACCGTTTTATCGCGTTAAGTTAACGTTTAAACTTTTATCTTAAAAGGTATAATTACGTAATAACGTAAGAAAAAAAAGAAAAATTACCAATATTAAAATAACAATTATATAACCTTATTACATAATCAAGGTTATATTTATACATACCATTTATATATAATTTATATATTTATATAATAAATATCTTTTTCCATTTAAAAATACCTTTTTTTTACCTTAATATAATTAATTAAAATAAAATCATTATTTACATTCCCTTTTATATTATTACGTAATATATAATTAATTTAATAAAACTTTATTTTTATTTAATTAATAATAATAAAAATTAAAAAGTTAATAAATTAAATAATAATAAATTAAAAAAAATAAATTATAATATATTTGTTGGTAGGTATGTACGTAAATAGGAATAACAATAATAACGATAAAGCAATAGCAAGTAAATCAATGGTGTTGAGACTGGTGTATTAAGATGTTTAAGGAAGGAAGAATCTATTTGAGGCTAGCTAGGTATAGCATGTTCTTATATTCCAATAATAGTGGATACTCGACCCCTTTATTTAGTAAAGTCGGGTATCTTATCTCTTCCTCCCTTATCTACGATAAGGACACCTTATCATCAGTAAGGTGCCTTTATGTCAGTGTCACACGACCATCAATATTTAAATATAATATTTAAAAATAATAATAATAATAATAATAATATAAATTAAATAATTTTAAATCATAAATAATTTTAATTTTAATTATTTTTAATTAATTATTTTAATATTAAAATATATTATAATATTAAAGTTAAAATAAGTTATACGGTATATATAAATAAAAATAATTTTATTTTAAATTACTTTTATTAATCATTTTTAATTTACATTAATTTACGTTAATCCACGCGTATATACATATATGGTTATTTTTATATATATATATTATATTAATATACGAAAAGGTTATCTTATAAGTGTATTTAATTGATCCGGACCTTAAGTTTAATAAACCGGTTATAAAAGGTTTATGAGTGTTTTATTTAAACGCGACCTTTATTAAGCTTTTATTAAAAATATAAATGTTATTATGTTGTTAACTTGTATAAAACACAGTGTTAAAAGGTGAAAGACTTGTGAATCTTTAGTTAAAAAAGAGTAAAGTTAACAGGTAAATATAAACCATTTATTTGATCCAGTTAAATAATTAAACATATTTAACGTGATATATAAAAAAAGGTTAAAAAGTTGTTAAATTAATGTGTTATAACAGAAATATATTAAACTAGTGTGGTGTTACATTGTTAAAAACAAGGGTATTATTATATAATCTTAAGTTATAAGCCATATAAAAGTTTAATATTCGTTGTATTTTTTTAATTAAATAATAATAATTATTATTATTTAATTATGCATTTAATATAAATATATTTATTATTTTTTTATATTTATAACTTATAGCTTTATTTTACGTATTTATTTTATATATTTTATTTGATTAATAGATCTTTATAGTTTTTTTAAAGTATAGTGTTATTATTAGCTGTTTAAGGCTTTTTATAAAGATTTAAACATTGAAGTGATATGTCATATTCTGCAGGAGATACCAACTCCTGTTCAATATACATCCTTTACATTTATACTATCTATAAGTAAATGAACGAGCAAACACATGAACTAATTAAACCGAGCTAACAATTACTACAGTACAGTTTTGGCAAGGAAACTTAAGGTTAAGACATCGTCACTAGCGTAAGGTGGTCGAGTCGAGTTATAAAGTTGGACCAACTTGGAATGCCTTACCTTAGCATGCGGAATCTTCTTTATGGCTCGGAATTGTTCTCATACTTGATAATTATTACTCCAAGTGGATTCTGCAAATTTTGCTTACAATACTTGATCCATAACAACACAATTTGATTTTAGGTGCTTGTTAGGCGACAGAAGTTTTTCTTTTGTGCTTCCCCACTCACGGACAATTTCGTTAACCCTCTGGTCGACCAGATATCGTGCCATGGCTCTTGGGATGCCCTTTTCCAAAAGCTCTTCGTAGTTTTTATGACGATGTCTAATATGAGAATGTGCAGCGAGGCGAGCTCCCTCAGCGATATCCAACTTCTGCCTCCTTGCAACTCTTTCACTTCTCTTTTCCGTGGCTTGCTTGACAATTTCTCTTATGTTCTTGAGAGGTATCCGATAAAAATGCTTTTTAACAGATTTTCCGAACAACTTCTCCAGCCTAGCATCTTTATAGCGGATGGCTCGAGCTCGATTAGCTTTTGTCCTGTTGTAATTCTGCAGAACTTTGATGTGGGTAGTGGTTGACACTCTAATGTCGAGCCTTCCCCCGTTTCTATTGGCGATATAAACAGTTTGGCCCTCAAGATGTGCTTGATTCCAGCAATTCGCGGTGCTATAATTATTTCCTCGTGGAACGAATTGGTATAATACATGTGGCATTGGCGTTTTGGGAGTTGTCGGACAATCGAGGTTTGGCTCCATATTGGAATATAACTGATGACGCGTTGGAACAACAACCTAAAATAAATCAATGAGAACAGAGAGGGAATTCAATTTTGCTTGAAGCTCTCAATAGCTCTACGGGTGGTTTTATACTTGTAGGGAACGAAAATTTAGAAGTCGAGAAAATTGACTATAAAATTGGATGTTTACAAGTATATCAGTTACATTACTGATTAATTCTTCATGTGGAAAATGGCCATTCATTTATGGTTAGGTATCACATCGTCAACTTGGCATCGTTCCTCCTTAACTTGCACGAGTTTCCCTTTACGCCCTTCACTTTTTAGTTGGGATTCACAATGAGAATGATATGCTTAGGTAAGTACACACGCAACGAAAGGAATATCATGAGTTGGCAATGACAATGATGACGATGTCTATGCTCAAAGATACAGTATATGAGCTGTATAAGTGAGGAGACAGGCCCTTTATATATCTATATATATTCCACGCCAAGACACCATATAATATTGCACCTGAAAGTGGTCAAGGGACCACTCATGTGAACGGTTGATATTTTTTTTATTTTTACGTCTGAGGCGTTATGAACTTGGATGAGTTGGGGCGACCCGCCACCGTAGTACATAGTATATATTAATATGTACCTATATATAGAGTATCTACTTCGAGGGAGACAGCCGGAATATTGCTCGAAGGAATATTTAGGAGTCACTCGCGGTCTAGAAGATAATTATACGTATTATGTACCTAATATATGGTACCTGTGTAAATATTTGGCTAAGCACGAAGCTTGTCTAAGATAACATCATAACTCGGCTGTCGTATATCAGACTGTCTCGGTGCTGGGTGGGTGGGTAGTGTTGTCGTGCCGTATTACAATGTATACGATATAAGATGGCCTACATCGGAAGGTTATGTTAATAGATTGAGACTTCCAAAAAGCCCACCAAATGAGATGCTATTTTGTTGGAATGATTTCATTATCAAAATTATATCTGTTTCTTAAATTACTTAGCTAAAGGATAACCCCAAGTGGAACACGCCTCTAGAACTAGCTGGCCAAATGCTGTGGAGCTAGTGCCATCCAATGGCCGTGTAAGACAGAATAAAGGGCGAATTCCCTTATCCATCGCCCTTATCGGACCTAACAGATCTTATAGACCCATCATATATCGAGAAGCGACGGATGATAAAATACTATAGGGTTGCCGTTCAACCGTTCAGCTCTTTGGGATGCTTACCCATATACTAATACTAGGATTTTCAACTAAACATACTACACGTTATGCTAGCCAATTCCGTAATATGATGAGAATCTAGCCTATATAGAACTACTGCTAGTTCTGGTGGACTGCTAGATTATCCTGTAGAAAGTCTCTAACTAGGATGTTAAATCTCGTGTCGCGTGTTCTCACGACCTCGGGAGTTAACTTGCTGAGATGTCTCTCCCAGGCCATCTGACTCCATGCGTGGTAGGCGAGCTGATCCTCATAAAGACTGCCGCCGTTCCTGTCTATCTCCGCTGCCCACTTACGCGCTTCGTCCGAGCTGAGCTGCTTGTGCATGAATTCGATATGGTCCCACGTCCAAGTTGGCCAGAAGAAAGCGTTTGGTGCTAACGTGCAGACTTCGTCCGGATGTTCTAATTCCAACTCTTTAGGAAGGACAACGCTGTGGTAATTCCACTCCTTAGAAAGATCTGCACCGTTATACTCTCGAAGCCATCTCGCTACAAACGAGCTGTTCTTCCGAGCAACCATGATGGCGTTGCACAGACCCCCACGATTTCCGCCCTCGTGGCCCAGTATTATATCGCGTGGCGATTTTAAAAGAGTAGTAAAGGGTCGGAATCCGAAGGCGTCCATATCCATATAGATACCACCCTGCTCTTGGAGGAGCTTTAAACGGAGAATATCGGATATATGTGCGGCGTGCCAGGTCGCGTCGGGCGAGCTCTTCAGGGCCGTCATCTCTTCGGGTGAATGATAAACAAGGTCGATATCATCTTTTAAAAGACGTATCCATGGATTCGATAGAGGGGACGCATTGGGTTCGGGCGACGGTGGATCTGCAAGATACGTGTAATGAAGCGAGATCTTCTCTGCTTTCATGCCCACAATGGCACTCCGTATGGCAAGGTAGCAGAGAAAGTCGAAGGTACCTGCGCTAGGCTTGCTATAAGGGTTACTGAGACCGTATATGAAATGAACATGGTTGGGTATGGGATCTATGTGTTTATCACTATCGCTGGCTAATCGAGGGGTAAGGCCGCGTAAGCAGTCGAGCTCATTTTGCGTAGGCACGAAATCTTGTTGGACTTTCCATTGGTAGGCGAAAGGCAAAGTTTGACGCACGCGATCCCCGAATTGTCTTACGGATGGCCAAAAGGGAGGGCTAAGAAGCACCAAGACGAAGACGATGGGGAAGAGGTAGTAAACTCGGCGACGGCGTAGAAGTACCATAGGATGATACATGCTAGGAGTTGTGGGAGATATGCGGATATGTAAATAGGCTCAGGGCGGTTATCTCCCCCTTGCGAACAAAATTAGGAGCCCTGGAGAAGATTAAGACCCGAGAAGATGGACGGCGTCTTAATTACGGACTTTCTTGGCAACCCCCAGAGCCGGACAACCGGTTACATTGGTTGGCGCTGGCTGCCGTGTCCGGTAGTAATATCATTTATCGCGTAGGGGTAGTAGCGTTAACTTGATCTGTCCCATAGAAATGCGAAATGCGAAATGCCATTGGTGTAGATGCTATAAAGTGCTTAAGAAATAAAAAGTTGAGAATGCCACTGGCATAAAGGTCGGTTATGTACTTGAATATCTTGCGCTTCGTGGGATTTAAACTATGACCTAATTATTAGGTACCTCTCTTCTTAGTGCTATGTACTTCCGTTATACTTAATGCATTTGTGAGTTTAATAATTGAACATTATGTACAACGAGTACATGCATATATGTAATATATAAATGATTATATCTTTAACATGTATTAATTCTATGTAACTAGTTACTACTAACCTTTAGGTTATTATTATTTTATTAATAAACAAATTTTTTTTTTTACCAGAGCCTTCAAATGTCTTACTAAAATGCGGACTTGGGAAAGAAGCTGCATAGGTATGCAAAGCTACATGTACATGTATGCGTATCTATGTACATATGTTGTTGGAACCTGCACAAGTCCCAAAAATAGGGGTCTGCTACCTGTATAGGTACATAGGTGTAATGCACAAACGCTAAAATGCACTACGCTATGTACTTCGTACGCTTCTTACCTGGAAAAAAAAAAGGATCTTGACAAGTAGAACCCTTGACAACTTAAAAAGATCAACACATGGGAGACAATCGATAATCCCAACCAACAAATCAAAGCTAATGCAGATGGCCTCGGGAATGCCAACAAAAGATAGTGGCATTATCTTTTCAACCACATCACACATGAGCTAGCCCGTAAAGTTTAGCTAGCATCTCTCTACTATGTCGCTGTTTAATCGGCTACCACGCCTACGAAGGAGAGGAGGATGGTTACAGTCGCCTTTCCTTTGGGTCCTCGGCGCTGCGTGTATTCTCGAGATTACCATTCACGCCTCCCACTACCGCGTGCCCGTACCGCCTCGCGAGTTCGATACTCCCTTCTATGCCTCCTGCCAGGAGCCTCCGAGCACCCCCCCAGACTCACCTCGCGAGAATGCCGCCATCGTTATGCTGGCCCGCAATCAGGAAGCCGAGAAAGCTGCGAGATCCGTCCGCAGCATCGAGCAACGCTTTAACCGCTGGTTCCGATACCCGATCGTATTTCTTAACGACGAGCCCTGGAGCGACGAATTCAAACAAACTATTAACTCTTCTACGAGTGCCCCGACTTTCTTCGAAATTGTACCTAAGGAACAATGGACTTTTCCGTCGTGGATGGACCAGGACGCCGCCCGCGCGAGTATAAAGGACCAGGGTGAACGTGGTATTTTGTATGCGGGAAAGGAGACCTATCATCACATGTGCCGGTTCTTTTCTGGGTAGGCTAGCCGACTATACTTCTCATGTTTGGTCTTACTGAGGTGTCGGCGTTGCAGTAACTTCTATCAAGTCGAGGCGCTAAAGAAATATAAATGGTATTGGCGATTAGAACCAGACGTCGAGTTCTCATGCTCTATCACTTACGACCCCTTCGCCGAAATGGCTCGCCACAACAAAGTGTATGGTTTCACGATATCGCTCTGGGAGGAAAAGCGCACGTGTCCTAGTCTCTTTAGGGAAGTATCGGACTGGAAGGAACTGAAGGGTATCCCTAGCACCAACCTCTGGAAGGCGAGTGTTGATGCGTCTTGGGCCCCCTGGCCTTTCCGTAGCCTACTCAGCTGGTTTTCACACCGCGATAGCTCGGGTGACGGATGGAATCTTTGTCATTACTGGAGTAATTTTGAGATCGCAGACCTTGACTTCTTTCGTGGCTCTAAGTATCAGGACCTTTATAAGCACTTGGAGCACACCGGCGGCTTCTATTTCGAAAGGGTTCGTATACGTCGGACAGCAATGCCACAACACCAATTCATTCCCATTTTTATGTTTAAATTGCTAATCCAGTTTCTTATAGTGGGGTGATGCCGCAGTCCACTCACTCGCCGTGAACATGTTGGCAGAGCCGCATCAGGTTCACCATTTCGCCGATATTGGATACCGACACGATTGGTATTACCAATGCCCCGCAAACGCGCCCGGTGGTCAACTACTCGAGTCGCAAGCACTCAATGATGTCCAAAGCAAATGGGCCGAGGAAATCCCCGGTGGCGTGGGTTGCCGTTGTGACTGCGACGGCCGCCGGAATAGAAATCATGCCAGCTATTGCCTAAACAAGATGAAGGCGCCTAATACTGCTCACCGTCCCTGGTCTACATGGCTACTTAGCTTCATCTTTTAGAATGTATACCCTTTGCTAATGTTGGTAGATATTTATTATCGCATAGAGACAACCCGTGATGAAGAGCTGTCGCCTCTAGTTAGTCACTATTGTATTTGTGATTATAGCGAGATGGCATCTTTTGAAGATTTTTCAAAACTTGAAGTCATTATAGGCATAGTTTACCTCACAATAAGCATTACGGGGCGATAAACTAGCCTTTTACTAAGCAAAGCAGACAAAGATATTGGTTTAACTAAACCATATATCTCAGAAGTCTTATAGTTTGGGTCAGAGTTGAATTAGCAAGATATCATATACACGAGATAGACGAACGCGATCTACACCAAGGGTTGAGAGAAGACACTAACCACAACGATACTAAGGTGGAAGACTATATTAAGTTTATAATGTATCGTACAAAAAAAATAGCAAATCTTACGGCCTCCAGAGAGTGATGTGGATTGTATACTGATTTCCATTTAGTCATTTTTATATTCACCGATGGCATTACTATTGCTCTCATGCCACTAATGCAACTTGATTTCTTTCAAGTGAAGTAATCCAACCGTAAATATAGCTTGCTACCTCACGTGTCAGGGTATCGATCGATTGTAATAGTAGCACCAGGTCAAACAATCGGCTAGTATAGACCTGGTTGGACGCCTTTAGTACCCACATGCCAACCCTACCAAAGATACCATTTCTTCTACGTATGACCCAATGACCCGGCCGAAGCGTGCTTTCAAGTGCCGTCCTATAAAATTCTGTGTCCATGCAACCATCTGGTAGCATCTAAGTGTCGATATTGACACTAAATCTCTTTCCTCGAGTTGACTAAGATGTCGAGCCGCATACTAGGTTTGGTACAGTGAACGCGTAATGAATAACCCATCTCTTTTCGTCTGGCGGCAATTCAAACTCCCCATTTCCAATGGAGTGCTAGCCTGCCAGGTTCTTCTATCCGGGCCGGAAACACCTTTGCGAAGTGAAAATGGCGGAATATCGGTCGAGTCTAGGGTGTGTTATGCCGTAACTCGGGCGTAAAACGCCAACGTGCGCTCACGAGATATTCTCAGTATCGACAGCCATTTCCTCTTTGGAAATTCCGGTCGTCTCTTCCGCAGGTACATCTACATGTAATCCTCAATTAGCGACTGGATTATTTCTTCTTTTTCCGCCCCGTCTTGAAAACAGGCAACATACCTTTCATCTCAACCTCACCCTCGGTCTCCATCTTGCGCTTCATAGCATGGTTCATCTTCCGCTCGAGCTTGCGCCTCTTTTTCGAGCTGAGAGCTGCGTTTGGCCCACTCGTTGGCAATAGCCCGGGGCGTGCGCCGCGCTTCGTGTCCGCTTTGGCGACTCGGCCCTTCTTGTCCAGGGCGGCGGTGCTGATGCGCTTCTGGTTCTGCTTCCTCGCTTTGGCAGCGCGGGCTATGAGGCGGTTCTTCGAAGGCCCGTTAGGGTTCTTAACGGACGGCATTTCGTCTAACTGGGTGGTTTACAATGCTTTCTTGAAGATAGGCAATATATGCATGCTTTGGAGATGTGGATGGATGTGAAAAAAATGTTGGAGGGGTCAAGATTAAAAGTTTTGGTGGGGCCGATGTTGAACGATGCAAGGATCACCATACTCTCCGCATCACCCGTTAAGCCAATATTATGCACTATACGGTTATACCCACCAGGTACCGATCTTAGGTACCTAACTTACCCCCCTTTTCCCGGTCCTATTTACGGTCTTTACTCATACAATATATATAATGAAAGGGCTAGCGTATAATTGCGTGGATGGAGGAGACAAGACGTACCATAACTGTTGATTACCGGAGATAGAATGTCTAGTACACATGTAAATTAATACCCTTGACCAAACGAAATCGATGTGGCTGAAACTTTCCTGATCCTGCGTCAGCTTTACCATATCTAGCATGTCTTATGTTGAATCTATGCGGGTTATCTCATGATTATTTCCAGTTTAGTGTTACTCCCTATATCTGACTTTAAATATACAAGAGATGTAAACCGGATCTAACAAGATGAGCCCAGTTCCTATAAATATCACAGGGTCACTATGCGAGCTTTGCTATCAATTCATCGACAACCTCTTCTTCTTCGGCTTTACTAGACAGGTCGTTTATTCGGCGCGGTGGCTGCCAGTAGGTTCAGAATGGACACCAGAGAAGCCCTGGGGAGATGCCTTCCGTCACTGCGAGACGTTCGGAGACCTCACAAACAGTGCTAAGACGTGTGAGCTTTGTAGCATCCTCTACGTGGACCTTGCGCCTTTGGACGCAACTCTACATCAAGGCTGGTTGGGTTTATACCCGTTCTGGTCATCGGGTCGTATAGGGGACAACAAGCTGAAAGGCCATTTTCGCGCTGGTTTCCGCGACTCTCTGCAAAATATGCCCTGGGGAAGCAACAAGATTGGAAGTATCCCACTACACAGCTTTAGTATCTGCCGACGAGAGCATTTAAGAAAAGGAGAAGACGTACCTTGGTTAGATGCATATAGAAGGATCCCAGCCGTACCAACGACTCTAACCCCTTTGCATATCTCCCAGGTCGCGGCTGAGTGGCGGCAAGAGTGTACCGAAGTTCACCCAAACTGTGTTAAATCCAACTCGGATAATGCACTTCCAACAAGGGTTATCGACATAAGCGACAGCAATACAGGAAGAATCTATATATACGAGACAAAAGGCGAAAAGATGCCATATGCCACACTCAGCCACTGTTGGGGTGGTATAATCCCATCGGTTACCACAACGGTTAACTTGAAGGTAAGAACCAGTGGAATGGAGATCGACGAACTACCCCAGAACTTCAGGGACGCTATCGAGGTTACCGGAGCTCTCGGGTTTAGATACCTGTGGATAGACGCTCTGTGCATCATCCAAGACTCGAAGGCAGATTGGGATCAGGAAGCTGGGAGGATGTATTCCGTGTACGCGGGCGCCTCGATAGTGATATCCGTCCTCGATTCTGCGGGTAGCACCAAGGGCTTTCTTAAGCCAAACAGGGCACCGCTGTCACTAATAAGCGACGAATATGCCGTCCAGAAGGTGTATCCCGATATTAACGAATGCCTTACGGAATGCCCATTAAACGGTCGTGGTTGGTGCATGCAAGAAAGACTTCTGGCCAAACGTGTGCTGCACTTTGGAAACGAACAGATGTTCTGGGAGTGTCTCACTGATTTTAAGTGCGAGGACGGAAAGAATTACACCGGCGAGTCGGACGGGCACTTCGTAGCAAAGTTCATGAAGATCCGAAAACAGATTGGTGTATGCGCTGCCCAAGGTGTCGAGTTAGATTGGAAGGCATGGTATCAGTTGCTAGAAGAGTACACTACACGGAAGTTCACCATTTCTACTGACAAGCTACCTGCGGTTGTTGGAGCAGCGGCATTATTCAAGTCTACTAAGCCAAGTGCGACGTATATTGCCGGCTTATGGCAAGAAGATATCGCGCGTGGTCTCCTATGGTGCGCCCACTATTACCACGCGCCAGGCCGGAAGGTTTGGGGAATATCAACGACCGACGAGATATCCGAACTATCTAAACCGCCTACGAAACGCGCACCTAGCTGGAGCTGGGCTGCCCTCGACGGTGCACTCGACTTTTGGGCACTCCGGATAGGGGGATTTGTCGTTGAAGTCTTAGATGTGGCAATGGAAGCTGAGAAGGAGGCTGTATATGGCTACCCGGATGGAAGTATAAAACTCAGGGGTCGCCTTGCGCAGATGTTCTATCACCCCCCCGAAGATAGTAAACACGACGTCGGCGTCTTGACATTTGAGCCAACCGACTCTCCAAATTTTCATTTCGGGCCAATAAATAGCTGCGTCATGGATTTAGATCGCCAGTCACCGCAACCGTGCTGGGCGTTGGTAATGACAGAGTCACCTAACGACAAGTACTTGCTTGTCCTCCACATGCGAAAGGATGGAACTTACCGGAGGGTCGGAATGAGTGCTGTACATGGGCGAGAGGTTGGTCTAAAGAGGTTCAGAACACAAGAAATTCGTATCACTTAAAATTATTAAAATGAAAATACAAAATGAGTAACAGTCATTTGACAATGGGAAACTCGGCACGAGTCACAACTTGGTTACTCATGGACGGTAACACCAGTTGCTTTGAACATTATTATATATATATATTTTGTGGTTTCTTTTCAACTCAAGTACGCCTCTACCACTCGAGCCGATCATCGCACAGTAAGCTGATATCATATCGGCCATTTCCTTTCCAGACCTTCCCGCCCGAGTTGCATGACGCTACAATACTCCTTAAGTCGCTGATCATGCCTCCTGGTCCGCTTGCATATACGGCCGTGGAGCCCCTAACGGTGTTGTCCACAAATCCCCTAACTAACTTGTTTAGGTCCGGGTGTCTGTCAAATCCTTCCCCTCCGATTCTCTCGACGTTGAGGGACGACGCAGACTGAACACTCTTCACGGATGAAACCACAGACGAAGCCGAGCCGGACTCCTTCACGGCTATGTCGTCCTTCTCAAATATATCGTCGTTTATCGACGGGCTCCTGCTGCTTGCTTCCCTCGTTACATATATGTGAACTTCAATCTTACGCGCCTTGGCGGCTTTGCGAATGGTATCGAGTTCCTTCTCGACCCAACGGGTATCATCCTTCTTCCTTACTGCCCAGACCAGCTGGACTTTCCGGTCCTGCATTTCTGGTTGGTCTATTATTCCAAGCACGACCGGTAAGACGTAAGTAATTCCCGTCCCACCAGCCACGCAGAGCACATTGACATCCGGTGTCAATTCGTCGACTATCGACTCTCCATACGTTCCCGACAGTATTAAAGGAGTCGTTGCGCTGGGTGACGCGGCTAATTTCCTCGCGGCTAGTTCTGCGACCTTCTTTGTCTCTCCTTTCTTCGCTCTGAGAATGTACGAGTGCGAAACAAGCCCATCCCGTGCCTTTGGCAAGTTGAGCGGCGTAAACGGATGAGACTGCCATAAGCTACACTCTATGAAGCAAAGGTAAAAGTGTTGTCCAACTTTCCAGGTATCCTGAGGATGAATAAAATCCATACGCACGACATCACCGTGCTCTGCGTCGGGAAAGTGCGTCAAAGATGCGTGTGCCGCCCGGAATCCCATAGATCCGCCAGGTAAATATTGGTAATGAATAAGGGCCGAGCGCAAGAGTCTAACTCCACGGTCCAAGAACCAGAGAGCTAATCCCGGGATCAGGAAGCATTGCAAATTTGCCCAATGACCCCAGCAGGCCCCGATATATACCATCGCCAGGACGTAGTGCGCCTTGCGGAAGAACTCGTAGCCAGTGAAGCGAATACCCCAGGGAGTACTCAACGCAAAGAGGATTAACAGCAGGATTTGCGCGACAACTCCCCAGATGATATATAGCTGCTTAATCCATTCGATCGCGGTCGTCGGCTGCGGTTGATATAGTCGGACTTCGATTACAGTCCAGCCAATAGTATGCAGAGATCCTTGCACAACGATGATATAACCGAGCCAGCGATGAAGAAAGTTGAAGCTCTGGTACGGGACGCCAGTAAGAAGAGAGAGAATAGATTCCCTGCTCGACAACAAGATCGACAGCGGAGTGAGAGCATATGCAAAGACGCCAACTCGATCAGACCACGGGCCCAAGCTCGTTCTGGTGTTGTGAAGCCCGGGTTTATTCTTTATGGGTGTTACCCATGTCTGATACGTGATGCCGAGAAAGCTAAATAGTAGCAAATAACCGGCTAGGACAGTCAAGATCAAGACTTGAAGTCGCGTCGTTCGGCCAAAGACGAATCGGGCCGAGTCGGGTAGTAAGTAGCGACGGATTAACGCCGCGGCCGTCCTCCTCATTCGCGAGCGTCGACCAGCTATTCTTGCTACTCTTTCGCTATCGATGGCACCGGTGGGTATCTCGTCGGCGCGAGGGGATGGGAACATGCGTTTCCCGATAGTCCAAAGAAGGAGAATTCCAGCAATTATCGACCACATTATGCCGGAATAAACCATAGTCAAATCGTGGGATCCATACACCTGATCTAGGTAGGCGCAAGATCCCGGGTCGTTCGTACACGGAACGGCTCTGTCGACATAACCCCAGTGCTTCTCCAACGCGGCGGCCTCGCTGAGATTCTGAATATGGCGAGCTGCCAGCGGGTTCTCCATGGTGGCCATCTTCCTGCAAGTCGTCCCGACGACGGAAACTGGAAGGCGTTTGATCGTGTATGACGAGCGAGCGACTGGCGTAACCCCGGGAAGCGGGAAGGCTTTTTGTTTAATAGGGCTGCAGAATTTGCGAGAAGTCTGCAAGCATATCTCCTGTCGACGATTGTCTGATGATCTACGGTTACTTGCAGGAGCCAGCGGACGCGATGATAATATAATAAAGTGACCAAGCAGACGAGCAAGCCTAGCCGGTCGACCTAGTTAGCTAGGCAGGACACCGTCCAACCGTTGCACCCATTGCCGGGACAAGGTGGTGCCACCTTCAAGTTGCCTCCTCCGTCCAGAGGACAATTCCTCCCCAGGAGCTCCGTCATTCTCGGCGCGCTGGTAGAAACTTGCTCAAAGATACTACCCCCCGAAGGTTTGAAACGTACACCGTTCAGGCCGTTAGGCCCGTGAAGGGAAAGCTTGAGAAGAATTGAGCACGTTTTTCAGGGGTCGTATATGGCTTGGCGTACAAGGATGTTTTACTTAAGACCACCAATAATAGACTAGACTCTTGGACGTTCAAGGCGTCGAGCCGTTGAAAACGAAGCGCTAATGGGCCAAACAGTCGGATTCGTATCCACTTTGCCTGCGTCCTAGATACGATCATCTGCCTTTCCGCTGAAAACCCGCTATCTGACGCTTTTATCTAGGTTAAAAGATTGTTAAAGAGGGACTTTACGTTGTAGGCGCGGTCGCCGCGCCCGATTCTTTCTCATCCTCGGACCATCGACCTTCCCAAAAGGCTGAATCCTGCTCTTATACTCTCATCTTATAAGATATCGTCATTTTTCTATGTTGAGCGGGTCGTAAAGTCTTGGAAAGTCGATAGCATAATAAAGGCGACAGTGTTCCTACATCCTAAAGCTTCAGCGTTCACAGACCAAAATTACTCGTCCCGGATCCAACTGTAGGCTGATCTCGCGTCATCCTCCGAGCTCACCCAAGGGGAAGGTTGCTACTAATTTTGCCGGCGCATCTAAATTAACCGCCAACATGGATCACAGTCATATGGATATGGAGAGCAGCAACGCTACGTGCACGCATGCGGTACGTGTGACTAATTCATACTGAAATAGAGCCGACTGGACGATGACTGACCGAGGAATAGATGGCATGGAACTGGAATACTATTGGCACTTGTAAGACTTCCTCATTATATCCAAGACATATTCAAGAGGCTTGGTGTGGGTAGGCGGGTTATTAACAGATTCTAGGCCTCCTTTCTGAATCGTGGCGCATCGAAAACGAGGGGACTTTTGCAGCCTCGTGTATCGGCGTTTTTATTCTTGTCATATGCCTAGAGTTCCTCCGCAGGATAGGAAAGGAGTATGACAGCTTTATACTACGGCAGTTCCAGCAGCATTTAGCGGCGGAAGCCCGCGCATCCAAAGGAGAAGACTCATGCTGTTCCGAGGTGCCGGCCCCGGGGCCGCAAGTCGTGACGTTTAGGGCAACGCCCGTGCAGCAGCTCATCCGCTCTATTATACACGCATTTGCGTTCGGTGCCGCATACATACTCATGCTAATAGCCATGTCATATAACGGCTACATCATAATAAGCATCATTATCGGCGCTGGTGTTGGAAAGTTCCTATGCGATTGGATGATCGCCAAGGTCGTGATCGGAAATGAGTCCCAATCAGACAAAGGGGCGAACAGCGGCCTGGAAGAGCCGTCTGTGTGCTGTGGTTAATGTCATATTTACGTTTAGATACCCCTCGCGTAGTTTTTGGTTCAGGTCTACTCAAACAACAAATGCCTAATCTCATCACCATGATTTAAGGCTGATCTACAAGTACGTTTTCGATACCCAATCCACTGCGAGATTGACCACCAGAAGAAAAGGTTCAAGCCGAAGTCGCAGCATAGAAATATTATCGACCTACTATCACACGCAGAGAAAGTGCTACGGCTCATCGTCTTACAGTTATATTTAGTTCAAGTAGATGATCGAATGTTGAGGTGACCTCATATCTTGGTTACTTCGGAGACGTTACTAGATGCGATCTGTTATTGGGATTAGATAAGGCTTAGATACCTATTACCCTAACCTTCGGGGTCGCGCTTGTTTTTGTAACATGAGAAACATCGCTAGTCGCGATGCAAGAATATCGCATCAACCTCTAGGTTTATATAATGTGTGATATGTTGGGTTCTCCCTAGATTTCAAGAGGCTTGGAGGCGAAAGTCTCGAAGCTAAGGAGAATCTAAAAAGGTAGGTAGGTAACTATTTTATCTTTTACCTGTTAAGAATCGTATAATTGGTCTAATTGCAAAATCGAAGCTGAATGTCCGCTGATAGGTATATCTTAGAACCAAACTTCTCATCTAAGTTTGATGTTATTATCATAACACGAACACGCCACTATCCCATTCGTCGCCGTTCTTTCCATGCTTAGTATGGGAATAGCGCCCTAGCACAACGTTTTCGTCCCCGGCCGACGTAACGGGTAGCATGATACTCTGGACTCTCTCAGAGGCAACTGGTAGCGCAACATCTTCAATTCCAGCCGATGTCGCGGGAATTGTGTCACTAAATCGGAAAGTTTGTTCGGAGATCGAGAGTAGAAGGCCGAGTGAAGTGCGAGGGTGTATCCCTTTTTCGCACCAGTCCTGCTATCTGTGGGAGAATGCATTTGTCATCGTTGGCTATCGGTATTTGTTGCATGAAAATATGTTGAGTGATGGGACTACCAGGGAGGGCCTTCGACCGTTTCCGGACTCTCGAAGAACTGATTAGTGGCCATACTCCAAACAATTGGCTAAGACTCATTGTATCTACTCCTTAGAGAGTTGTCGTTACGTTGTAAAAACGGGTTCGGATGGAGAATGTTCGGAGTCTCGCCGTCTCAGGGGCATTATGAGTTTTTGTTTTCAACTGGGAGGATATACAAAAATCAATAGACGGGTACAATTGGTCAATTGGAAGGTCACAGGAGTATATTCAGATGCGAATAACTATATATCTGCGTGCTGCTTAGTGTTGTCTTCGACTCTATTACCGCGCCATATCCTTAGGTAGTTTTGCAGGCAAATCAATGACCTTGTGCTGATGTCATCAGACGTCTTACGGCGCCGTCGATCGGGCGCTGTTCTATCAGTAGAAATGTATAAAAAAGGAAGGAATTTTGCCAAGAGATATTGAAGTCGGCAGACAATCACAAGTAGATTTCGAAACGCATATATACCATTGACTTATATCCTTAAGCGCTACTATGAGCAACCCGGATAACCCCAACATCAGCCAACGTAGCACGCCGCAATGGGGCCTCTATCAGAGGGAACTCTTCTGGGCACCGAACGAAGGAAAGCACACGCCTTTTAACACACGTGAGAATCGGTACCTGTATATAATATGAGCATCGCGCAATCTAACGGAACCTATAGACCCCGATAAGCTGAGGGAGACGGCTAGGGAGCGCCTCAGCCAGTCTGGATGGTACGACTGTCCAATTTACAAAAAAAAAACCAATCATTGAATCATATCTCACCTTAATTCCAGGCACTACGCATCTTGTAACGCCGGCCTCTCATGGACGCACTACGCCAACCGACAGGCTTTTTACCGGCACCAAATCGTGCCTCGAATGCTCGTCGACACAGACCATCGGGACACCGCAACCACCATCTTTGGCCACCGCGTCGCAGCACCAATCGGCTTCGCACCTATCGGCATTAATCGGATCTACCACGCGACGGGGGAACTCTCCCCTGCCAAGGTAGCCGGCGAACTGAACCTGCCGTATTGTATGAGCTCCGCCGGCAGCTACAGCATCGAGGACGTGGCGCGCGCCAACGGCGACGGCGGCGCGCGCTTCTTCCAGCTGTACTGGAGCCCAGACGATGCCGTGGCGCTGTCGATGCTGCGACGCGCCGCGCAAAACGGCTATACTGCGTGCATGCTGACTACGGATACGTGGCAGCTAGGCTGGCGACACGACGACGCGGCGCATGGGAACTATGCGTTTTACCACGAGCACGGAGCTGGCGACCTCGGGCTCAACGACCCGGCGTTCCTAGATCGTCTGCGAGAGGCAAAGCTGGACCCGAAAGATCCCAAGGACAAGTACCGCGTGGGCGCAGACTGGATCGACAAGCACATATGGCACGGACACTCATTCTCGTGGAAGAGACTGCCGTGGCTGATTGAGAATTGGAAGAAGCTTAGTGGTGGAAAGCCGTTTTGCATTAAGGGGATCCAGAACGTGGCAGACGCGCGCAAGGCGGTTGAGCTGGGGGTCGATGGGATTGTGGTTTCGAATCATGCCGGGCGGCAGGTCGACGGCGCAATTGCGAGTCTGGATGCCCTGGAGAAGATTGCGGAGGCGGTAGGGGATAAGATATACGTGAGTTTAAGAAAGTTACTTGCGTCCTTGAACAGGGGAGATGCGAAAATAACAATATGATACTAATAGCTACCTATACAGATTATGTACGACTCGGGAGTCCGGGGTGGCGCTGACGTCTTCAAGGCTCTAGCCCTTGGAGCCAAATTCGTGTTTATAGGTCGTCTATGGGTGTACGCCCTAAGTTCAGGCGGCGAGGAAGGCGTGCGTCATGTGATGAAGGGACTTTTAGCAGATTTTGACATCTTGATGAACGTCGCAGGGTATCCAGAACTGAGAGATATCAATCGCGATGCTTTGGACTCCCTGCCGAAGGGGGCTTACTTCCCTTCTACGACGGAAATGGCATGAACATGCATAACGCTTACGAAGGGGTAGTTGAGATATCGTAAACGGTCATGTATGAGATTACGAATGGAGAAAGCGATAGCAATGAGTAATAAATTGACACAGGGAATATAGGAGTCATAAATGTATTCGACACTGAGCGAACGCAAAGCCCTCTCCGCCAAGGCTTCTTCATATAATATACATTCTCGTGTTCGTAGGCCATCCCGTGTTCTCATGTATATTTCCCACTCAACCCGTGACGTTGAAGTAGTTCGCGGCAATGGGATCCTTCAATCCAGCAGCCGTGATGAACTTGGGAACGCTAAAGCCAGTCTTCTGACTCTGGAGCATCTGGTTCGCGGCCGCGGGGACCTGCCAGTTCTCTGGCTGTTCCCAAAGTAGGTTTGTGTATCGGTGCGGGTGAGGGGGATTCTCCGGCTGAGGTGCCGGGGCAAACCACGCCACGGGGCCGTTGGCAGTGGACGTAAGCGTGCTGACCCCGTCGGCTGACGAACTGCCGCTAGCCTTGAAGTCTCGGATCACGGTGTGAAGATACGTAGCTGGCTGACCCTGGCCGGGATTTATGAAGTTGGTCGATCTAGATCATATGGAGTTAGCAACGGTCAATAATTTCTGGGAGTCGTTGAAGCATACGCATCGAGGTCTGTTATCAATGATCAGCTAAGCCGGATTGTTAAAATTTCAGACATAGAACTTACCGATCAGCATCCACAGATAGGTACCGTTAGCAGGAATGCTCAGACCAATGGTCGGTTGCCTTGAGGTTTCGGTTTTCGCCAGTGCTAGACCGGGCGTCACAGACTTGGACCCGAACGTGACCTCGAGCTTTTGCTCCACAACGGGGGTGAAGCCCGACGGAGTCTGAGCAGCTGAAATGCCAGCAAAGGCCAGCGCGGACAGAACACTAAAGCTCTTCATCTTGAATATCAAAGTCTACGATAATAATTACGTGTGAGTCGACGATCCGGCATATTAGGTAGGCTCCCAGGAGCCGGGTCTGATATAAATACTAGGTCGTCATCGAATCGCGTGTCTTGCGCCATATCTCATGAGGAGCTCTTCTCCATTATTCAGGGGCTGGCAATATACTTCATACTAATGCCGCCACTATTCAGTTTATATAAGATTGTTGGCTAAATAGGCAATTTTCCTCATCGGGCTCGGTCGACTTCTGTGCATTTCCAATCTTCCGTCTTGGCGAATTACGAATTAGCTATAAGAATTTACTCGAACGCGGGGTCTCCGCAAATTGATGGCAGTTGAACATATAGTCTAACCTGGATTTTTATATTGATTGCCGATCAACTAAATAAGATCTGCCTAGACTTACCTCTGGTATGAGAGCCTGGAGAGTATTCTATCGTTCCCAGGAAAGTTTCTCCTTAGTTATAAGACCTATGGACGCTGAATTTCGGCTGCCTTATAATTTGAACAGACAATGAATTTTAACGCATAGGTGCTACTTGTTAGACTTTGGGGGAGAACATCGTCAAGATTGTAGAGAAAACGGCGGGCAACAAGGAGATATATAGGAACAATTATTAAATTAGTAACAAAGTGTCCACTAGGACGACACCTACGCAGTTCAAAGCATCGAAATATCAACGCCATGAGATCTAAACAAACCCGGGTGACACACCTTTCCAACCAAACGCACCCGATTTACATAACAGATCTCAGAACTTGCAGCCCTATGCTGATACATCTAGCAAAACGCGTACGGTCTCGTTCGTAGCTTCCACCGAGTTTCCACGCCCAACTTCTCAAGCGAGCGCATCCATGCGAGAAGAAAGGAGGCCGAACGAATTGCCTGTCCCATCTCTCATAGCCTGTCTCTTATGACCTTGACTGTACGCGATCCCATCATCTCTTCTTTGATCTGGCACGAACGGAGTCTCTTCATCGGTCTATTCATAGCTAACTTAATCTCCTTCATGACCTTGCGGCTCGTAAAGACTTTGGTGTTTGCCGATTCGAGAACTTGTCCTTTTTGAAGTTTTGCTTTCTCTACCTTTTTCTGCTTACGCCTTTTTTTGTCGCTCTTTATGTGTCTTCTGCAGAGGCGGAGATGAATATGTAGGGGGTAATTCGGGAGAAGGTTGCATAATAGTAGACGGCGTAGGGGGAGATACAGTAAGAGATACAGCAGTAGGAGTAGTGGATCGAGGGGGCTTGGCGGGAGGAGGAGGTGTTGTAGAAGGAGTTGTAACAAGAGCGCCACGAATAGCCAGCTCACAAACCAGCTTGATTACTTCGCGGCTGACTAGATTCGATAGATCACTAAGCCCCATAGCATGGAGTACTTGTGGATTTAAGGTCATTCTCTGGGGCGGAGTATCGTTCGCGACGGGTTTCGTGTTGATCATCTCTGCAGCCTGGTCACGTTCGATTTCTAAACGAATATCACGAAGATGATCAACCTTTAGCTGCATTGATTTTATCCTAGATTGTAATCTCTCTCCCATGAGACTCAATTTAGGCATGATCTCATCGGTCACCAGTCTGTGCCTCTCTTCCATCTCTTGCAGCTCATTGCGATGAGCTTCAAGATTCTCTCCATGAATTTCAAGGGCAACTTTGTATCTAGCGGCTTTACTGATTACCCGGGGGATCTTCAACTTGTTGGAACCAGGTTTTTTGGTGTCCATCGCGTCAGTGTTCCGGTCTTCAGTGTCTTTTTGGTTACCACCTTGAGAAGTCGTGGCGAGATTGATTGTTGATGTCGTAGGGGTAAATCTTGGACTGCATTTTCTTCTTCTGGGGCATCTGGTAAAGTAGGTAGGTGGTTGCCTTGGTTTGAGGAGCTTTACTGACCTTTTTGAAAGCATGTTTTAACAATGTGGTTGCACGGGTGATTTGGTTCCCTTGACATCCAAGTAAAAGAAGACCATAAAAAATATAACATCGTTTTTATTATTGATTTTCGAATAATAATATATTAATGATTAATTATTATATTAATGTTTAAATTAACTCGATTTTTTAAAATGAAGTTTTAATTTAATAACGTAAAAAATAATAATTTAATGTATATAATTTAAAAAAATATTATATAATTAAAATAATTTTATAATTTCGTTACGTAATTAAGTTTTTACTTATATATATTAATATAATATTTTTTATAAATGAAAGGTTAAAATTATATTATAAAAAAATAAAAAAAATAATTTTATTTTATTATTACGATTTTATAAAAAGATTATAATATTTTTTATTTATTTATATTATTATTTATTAATTAAAATTATATTATAATTAAAGTTTTAAATTTTTTAAACTTTACGTATTTATATTTATTAAGATAACGGTTATATAACCTCGTCACGTGATTAAGGTTATGTTTACACACCGCTTACGTATAACCCGTACATTTATATAATAATAATTTTAAACGTATAATAAAAATCCATTAAACGTATAATATATCCATTTTTACGTGAAATAACTTAATATATTATTACTTATTTAATTTATATTAAAATTAATATTTGTTAAATTAGTCAGCCATGTTAAGTGACTTGAAAATCTTTAATCTTATGTAAAATAACGGTGTAACACGCGTTCCCACGATTTTACCTTAATTAATTAAATGATTAGTAATATAATGAATTAAACCTTATATAACGCTTATTTAATACGTATTAATTGTGTGACAATATTGTTTTTTAATGAATTTATAATTTTATTTAATTATATTATAATATTTGTATTTAATTAAATATAAAATTAAAATAAATAAAAACTAATATATTTATAATTAAATTTCATACGTATATATAAGTTATAAGTTTATATATTTAATTAAAATAATAATATAAAGGTTAAAATTATTAATTTAATTAATTATATTAATTTAATTATTAATTTTATTATTTTATAAATTATTAAAAAAAGATAATAAACATTTATTATTATTAAATTATAAGTTATTAAAATTATTAAAATTATTAAAAAAGTTTTAAAAATTATTATTAATAACTTTATAAGTTTTATAACTTATAAAAATTAAATATATATTATTATATATATTATTATATATATTATTATTAAAATGGTTATATTAAAGTTATTATTAAAATTATTATTTATTAACTTATCGTATTTAATTAATTTTATTAATTTTAAATTAACGTAGTTAAATTAATAATAATAACCTTATGTTAATTTACTTTTATTTTACGTCTTTACCGGTATTAAATAAACTTTACATTTAAGGTTAAAATTTTATTATATAACGATATTTAACAGTTATTATAATCATTTTACCTTAAAAATTAATTATAAGGTTTTAAGGCTATATTAAATTTATATTTTTTAAAATTAATAAAAATAATTTTATTTAAATTATATTATAATACTTTAAAAGGTAAACTTTTAAAATATGCTTTTTAACGTTTATAACTTTAAAAAGGTTTAAGATTTTAAATTTTAAAAGTTTTTATTTTATTATTATTTAACTTTAAAACGCCATTAAAATAAAACTGATGGTTGTGTAATATTGATATAAAGGTACTTTATTAATGATAAAGTGCCTTTATTGCCGATAAAAAAGGAAGAGATAAGGTATTTAATTTTATTAGGTAAAGGGGTTAAGTATTTATTATTATTAGAGTATAAGAATATGATATATTTAATTAACCTTAAATAGATTTCTTTTTTAAATATTTTAATATATTAATTTTAATATTATTAATTTATTTATTATTATTTTATTATTATTATTATTATTCCTATTTACGTATATATTTATTAATATTAATTAATATTATTAAATAATAGTAACATAAATTAATAAAGTTAAAAAAATCATTATTATTTTAATTTAAAGATTTTTACTATAATAATATAAATAATATTAATATTTTTTTTATTTTATTTCTATAGTTTATAATAAATTATAATTTTATTTTTTTATATAATTTATTTATATTTTTAATAAATTATTACAATTTAAATTTTTTATTTATAAAATTATTATTATTTATATTATTAATTTTTTTTATTATGTTTTAAGAAATATAAGTAAAGAATTTAACGTAAGTATAAATTTACGTTATATATAATTTTATTAAGTAAAAAAATATTAATAAATTATATAAGTTTTTAAATTATTTTTTTAATTAAATATTTATATTTAATATAATATTTAATTATATAATAATATAATAAGAAAAAATCGACCTTTAAATAATTACGTTTAAATAAAAAGTAATATAAGCATTTTTTATATTAATAAATTTTAAAATTATCGATAATAAAATATTATATATACGTTTAATCAAAAAAATAATAATTAAATATTAAAAATAATTTAAAAAATTTACGGTAAATAATTTTAAAATATTATTAAAATAATTATAATTAATATTATAAAATGTATTAATGTAAAAAGGTATTTATATAAAGAAATATAACATTAATTACGTAAAGATATTTATTAATTTTATATTATTATATAATTTATTTATATAAAATATTATTAAATTAAAAATAATAAAAACAAAATAACTTAATATATTAACGTAAAAAGTTTTGGTTTATAAAATTAAAAAAAGAATAATATATCTTATTATACGCGTATTTACATAATTACAAATATTAATATAATAATATTAAATAATTTTTAACCTATAAACGTTAATATATACAATTATACTTATAAAGTAAATTTTAATGTAAAATATTATATTTTAAGCCTTACCCCTTTTTAACTTATAATATATATTACTTACTCCACAATTAAAATAAGTATTACCTTTTATTTTTAACCAACCTTTATTAATTTTTAATATTTCATTACTAACTTAATAATTAAGATTTATTTTTTAACCCTTTAATTAATTACCGTTCTTAATATACATCCCCTCTTCCCCCTTTTATATACTTAACCCAAACCCGCTACCGCAAAATATACCAAATTATTTATAATAATTAACATAACTTTAATAAAGTAATTAAAATAATATTTAAATATTACTTAATCCCTTTTCCCTTTTTTCATTAACTTAATAAAAGTATAATTTAAAATATAACCTTAAATATAAAACTAGTTAAATATAACCTTTTCCTTTAATTTCGGAAAATATATTTGGACCTTTTAAACCGCCACTAAATAATTTATATATAATATTAATAATTTTATTAAATATTAAATTAAGCAAAAAAAATTAACCTACCAAAAATTACAATTTTTCTTCTTAAATAATTCTATCGTTTTTATAAACATCTAACCTCCCCGCTTAAACCCTTATACCTATTAATAACCAATAAATTCAAACCTATTATAATATTTCTCCAACATAAGTTCTTAACAAAATATACCCTCCAATTATTATAAACCACTTTAAAAAAGCTTAAAATAATAAAAATAATTATATAAAGAAAATATATAACATTTTTAAAAATAAATTTCGATTTTTTTTAAACGTATATTATATAATAAAAATTTGATAAATATAATTCCATACCATATTTTCTACTATTTTTACTAAAAAAATAACAATTTTTTTTTTTTATAATATACCTAAACATTAATATTTTATAAATATATATATAACCATAAAATAATATTTTAATATAAAATAAAATAAAATATAATATCATTAAAATTAAATAATTATTATTTTCTACAATATAAAAATTAAAAAAAAAAATAAAGGTAAATTTAATATAAAAATATTACAAATTATACTTAATAAATTATTATTATATTAATATATTTTTAAACTTAACTTTAAAAGAAAATAGTAATTTATTATAGTTATATATTAAATATATTATAATATATCTCAATTATAATATATATTATTTATTTTATTACATTATTTTAAAAAATTAGCTAATAAATTTTAAATATTTATTAAAACGTTTAAAAATCTTAAAAAAATATATTAATTTATAATAAATATTAATAATAAAAATAGTAATAATAATAAATATAATATTAATTAATATTATATTAATTAAAAATATTAAAATATTAAAAATGCTATTATTAAATATATATAAAAAAAAATATTAGTTAATTAAATATTTAAAGAAAAAACGTAAAAAAATTAAAACCTAATAAAAAACTAAAAAAGGCTAAGTAAAAAAAAATTATGTAATTTTTTTAACCGAATATAAAGGTATTAAAAATTTTAACGTAAAAAAATCTAAAAAATTTATTAAAAAAAAAAAAAAATTAAAAAATTAATATATAATTATAATTTATTTTTTAAATAAATCTTTCTAATATTAATTTAACTTATAAATATTAATTTTTAAAAAATTTAATAATAAATTTAATATTAATATTATATTTATTTTTAATTAATATATAAAAAATGTATTTTAAAATATTATATTAAATATAGGAATAATATAAATATTAATTATAAATAAAAGTTAATATTAAATTTTTATTAATAAAAATTTAAAATATTATAATAATTTAGATATTAATTGCGTTAATAAAATTAATATATGTTTTAAAAATAATTTATTTATTAAATTATTAAAAATTATAATAGTTAATATTTTATTTGGTAAAGTAAATTTTTATATAATAAAAATAAATATTTTTTTTTTTTATTAAAAATATAAACTATTTAAAAATATACTTTAATAATATTATTAATTAATTAATTAATAAAAATAATGTAAT